GGGAGTGTACGTTCTCAAGCCAACACAGTTTATTATGCATGCGGACAAAAAAATACCAACTGGTAAATATTTTTAGACAAATTATGTCAAACGGAGAACCAGCAGACCACTTCCTTATATTTTATGAGTCTGAGCAAACGATTTCTTGTGGGAATAGCTGACGTGCTCTAGGCGAGAACTGAAAGTCTGCGTTTTCTTGATTCTCTATCACAATCGGCAGACAATATATTCTCTAGACTTGCCACTCACAAAATGTCACTTCAAAATTCAACTCAGAATATTTTACAGGCTAAATGTTAAGTTATTTACGCACAAGTGTGTGTGTGCTGTTGTCCATTTGTCTAAGGCACTCATCCTCACTTCAGGTTATTGAAGGGATGAACTTACCGCCACTAAAACAGCTGGGAAGCGTCATTTATAGATTTGGGTATATATTAGATAGAAAATGCCCAGTGTATCTTTGTTACGGGATCAATGTAATGGAAAAAATAGGGATGAATAAAAAAACACTTTTGAGAGTTAAATTGTAAGAGGGACGCAGTAATAGTTTTCAGATCCTATTGAAAGCGACTCCCTCCCAAACAACTTTGGCTACCAAGCCTTCTGGAGTATGGTTCTTAGAATGTGCAGATGGAATTTGTGCACTACGCAAAACCACGTCAGTACTTTGGTATCGTATTGGCTGTTCAGATGTGTCCGGGAGTTTGCAGCCATCTGTTTGTGTCTGGAGGCCCTAGGAAACGGATGAGGTACTTTTGCCTGCATTAAGTCTACTGAAAATAAATATACATAAATAATCAAAGTCCTAACTAAAATGCTCCTTATTAGGCATTATGTCATACTCACCAATGCGGACTATTCTGATTTATTGCAGTGAATGTCATATGCTTATCAAATTAAAAATAATGTTTTGCACTTCAGTGATCGCAATTGTCCGAAGTAAGACCATTGCACATTGCACGTTATCAAGCGATTTGGGCAGTGATACGAGATAAACGGGGTGAAAATCTTTAACCGAGTAGATGAATTTTGACTTGGAAACGATGTGACAACACAATTTTCTATATAAAGCAATATCGCGTGATTTAACGAAAATTAACTTTTGCTTTAAGTTTTTTTTTCAGTGGGAGAGAATTTGAAGGTGTCTTTTACACATAGTGTTTCATTTTCTCATAAAATTCTCCTGGCTAAGAGGGTTTTGGATCCTGTGTTTTTGCTTTATGAACCGGTTTTGAAAAGACCATTTTACCAAATACTTACAGTTCTCCGTTAGAACAAATCTACACTACGTTTGGGTTATTGTGTGTTGCTTCCACACTTCTTGTTTTGGGAGGCATTCCCCTTTTCTGGTTGTTCGTTTGATGCATGCAGAAAGCATTTTAAGTATTACCTCCATAAAAAGATCACTTGAAAAACAACGGAAATTTCTTTAATTAGTTGGGTTTTCGGAGGAGGTCTTACTACATGTCAAGCACTTTCATTTATATTTTCATCAAACCAGCGCCGATCAGGTGAAAACTGACGATACACAAGTAGTAAGCAGTTACTACACTGTTTTTTTTTAGGTGGATTGCGTATGAGGCTGTATAGTACCGCTTATCCTGCTCTCCACTGACTGTCTAACAAAGTTTTTGGAATAAATACAGGGAAATCCTCTGGCAGGTCACTAAAATTCCATAAATCGGGGGAGGCATATTTTAGCTTGTTCCATGCCTACCGAATTTGTAACCGGCCATTGCAATCCGATAAGTTTAATTTCCTTCAAAGTTTCCCTACAACCCTGGGTAAGGTTACCAGCTTGTATAAAGTAGCAAGCCTTGAACATTTGGGCACCTCCAGTCACCATTTCCAGAAATTCACTGTTTTTTAAGTTTATTTACCCCCCACGGATGGCGGGAGAAGTCATGCCGCCTATCTATTGGTGACTATGCTGAAGTTCTGCCAAAACCCCTGATGACCGCTTGTTTATATGCTTATCCGGTTCAAACTTTACAGTGCTCATTGAGTTGGAGGAAACGTACGGAAAGTCACGCTCTAGAAGTGTGCATACATATGTTGCGCTGCGGAAGCCAGGAGACCATACAGTGATGCTATGGAAATACGTCGCTTTGAAACACGACGTGGCCGGAAGCAAGTTAAGTATGCCCGCATTCAAGCAATGCTTTCAACAGTTGTTTTGCCAGAAGTTGTCTCAACTTGGATTGTTAAAACTTTACTAACGGAGGTTATTGACGTGCTGATGTAATAAGCAGGCCACACACCAGGTTCGTCTAAGCGCCGCACGTAATTCAATTCGGAAGCAATACGTATGTACTAAGTTTACTGACGGACATGAAATAGTTGGAAATCTCATGTAGTTTCTTTGATTAACTGTGAAATGAGTTTCTAGCTTTATAGGTTTTCTCACCTGTTTTTCAGTTACATTAAACATCTCAGAAATTGAATTCAGAAGGAGCACAACACAAACGCTTTTTGTCATTTGTCTAAGCTTTTGAAAAGTCGTTCAAAAAGGCCGTTGCTAAGGAATCTACTACCACAACAACCAGAAGAATGTTTGTTTTTATTTTTTAATGCAATACTGTGGCCACAAAGGAGGGCAACCATACATATATCATGAAAACTTCCATGAAATCATTTTGTTAAAGAATACTTACAGTAATAATCTCTTCCGTGTAAAATATTTGATACATTTTTTACACAATGAAAATTCAATGATTTCCTTTCGTTCTGAAACACCCTTGTTGTTTTTCCATTCATACTAGCATGTGAAAGCTGGATTTACTTATATCTGTCAGCAAGCTGGCACAATTGTGTACATCATCATCATCATCATCATCATCATCATCATCATCGACACCGGTGTTCAAAACCGATGCATCGCTACCGTAAAACCATGATTCATTTGAAAACCTTATTGTGAAGAAAAGAATAAAGGTGGATGGGAAAGGGATTTAGTGCTAGCATACTACAATCATTCTGAGGAATCCACACGTCCAGTCACTTATTTAGGCAGTCGGGATGGTGACTGACAAGAAGAACGCCATCTATTGTTAACCATATCTTGCAGCGTTTCCAACCAGATTCAGCGGGGATCACGCGATCTCCATCCTGGAAGACAAGGAGCACCAACAGCACCCAAACATTTCGTAATCCCTTTCATAACCCTTTTCCAGCTGCTAACGAGTTGACCACCTCTCTGCTTCCGCCACTCTAAAGTGGTTACGGAAACAAGTACTATCCTTGGAAAACGACAATCCGGTATGCGCAATGCATGGCCTAACCAACGGAACTTCTGGAGCTGGCCACATCCTGGGACAACGATTGTCGAAGAACTGAAGGCGTCTTAGTCTCGCTGATAGAACAGACCTAGTTTCTCAGCCATATAACAAAACAACCCGCACCGTAGCTTGATACACACACACGTCCCTTGAGATTCAGGGATACAGAACCTTGACGCCCTAGGTGTCTCAAATTAGCAAACGCGGTTCGAGCCTTGCAGATTCGTGCATTGACTCCATCTGTCACTCTACATTCACAACTAATACAACTTCCCATATACGTGAAACGCTCCACAAATTCCAGTACCTTTCGCTGGATTGTAAGTGGCGTGTTCAGTGGCTGCACCTCCCGGAGCATGACCTTACATTTTGTGGGTGAAAGTGCATACCAGAGGATGGTATGACTTTGGTCAGTTCGTCCTTCTTCTCTTCTTTGCAGACGAGAACGATATCGTCGGCGTATTCCAGATCTACAAGGTTTTGTCAGAGGCTGTTTGAACAGTGGGGTTTCGGAGACTTTTCAGCGTTCGTCTCAGTATCGCATTGATCACGAAATTAAAGAAGAACGGAGGGAGTGGGCACCTGTGATGGGCACCGCTTTTGGGGAGTTTTCAGTATACTCTCACACATATGTATGTATACGATGTACGTAATTGTGTGTAGCTGTGTCCGACGACTTGCATTACTTAAACACAACGCACGATAAATCAGCAGTGCATAGCGGGCTAACACAAGCACGAATTTAAAACTGCGTGATCAAGCTATTAAAATTGGATGAATATGGAAATTCACAAAAGCATGAGTCATTCGACACTCATAGCAGCCGTACAGAGGGTTCCAGAGCTTTCCAGAGCTTTGAAGTGCTATAGGTCTGAACATAGCAACTCATAATGCGGTTCCTTCCAGTCAATGAAAAACCAGATGGATCTGCGCGTAAGGATTATCAGTCTTCTGCAACTCCAGAATGGGTTGTTGGAATGTTTTAGCAAACAGCAGTGGTATGGATAAGTGCTAATTCAGTATTCCGTCACGTCAACTGAAAACTTGGAATCGGAACTGAACACCTCGAAAAATCCCACTGGAACTCGTCTAGTTGTAAGTCGGAGGCAAGCAAGCGTGTTTCCCCCACTTGGAACTTGACATTAGAGCCAGTAGATCGTGATCCACTAATCCATCCAAACGTCAACTTTTCTATCAAGATTTCTGACAACTTTGACAATTGTCGTTTGACCTGTTGTCATTATTGGCAAATTACTGGGTTGCGCACAACAGGTTTACGACAAGTTACCTTATTCGTAGAACTAGTCACCTAGCGATTTACTTTTGTTATTCAATGCAGTGCGCTGTCAGTCTTCTGGAACTGGCCGTGCTCTTGTCTTATAGTTTCATGAGTTTCCATAATGCGACGAGTTAATTACTTTTTCATTCAAAGTCATTTACGCTGAATGGGTTGAATCTACTTCGCTTCAACATACTTGCCTAGAATCGTGAGCCGACAGCCTATCTCACTCTCTACTTGTGTAGCAAACAGGTCTATCCAATCAGGAATTTGCATTTCTTGAACAGGTTGAACGGACATGCGTCACACAGACCAGCCGAACTACTACTCGTCATGTAGATCGCGCTCAGCTAACGTGGGGTTAGTTCCCGTTTTCCCACTATGGTTAAACCTACCTCAACAAACTCGATTTTGTAACTGCAAAGATTTATCCAGACGAGGAAATGTTTGAGGCTGGTGTGCTTAATGGTTTGACGAGGATAAGTGTGGAAATTGGTAGTAGTAAAAGTCGCAGCGACGATGACTTTATCGATCGTGTCAATCATTCGTACTCAACCACAATTTTGATGCTGTGTACTTTGATCGTCCTGAGTCGACAATTTATTGGGAAGCCCATGTCTTGTTGGACCCCGAATGAGTTCACCGGGTCGCAAGAGGAATATGCGACTATGTTGTGTTGGGTCACATCCACTTATTTTATATCTCCCAAGGAGCCCGCTATTCCTTCAGATTTGTCTGTCCGTCGGAAAGATTCCGTGCATTACTATCAGTGGGTACCATTTCTGCTGATGTTTCAGGCAGCCTTGTTCTCTGTTCCGTGCATCGTTTGGCGGCTTCTCAACTGGCAATCTAGGCTTCATGTAAGTTGGGCCTTGGATATTTTATTCTGTATGGGCAACAAGAACATAATTGGTACTGTTGACAAACCTCTGTCAAAATAAAAAATTTCTCACTATATACTACTGCAAAAGCTGCTAGCCAAATGATCCATCAATCGAATAGTTAGAATAAAGTGTGTGAAAATTACAATAAGTTATGGAGATTTGACTTCCTTCCAGTTATCCTTCATCCGTCTGTTAAGCCACAGGATTCAAGTTTCAAGCGCTATTTTCAAATACCGTCCATAATATTATTAACGTTTTGAGGTTAAGAAGCTAAGGAGAGCATACAAGTTAATTGATGAAACCAGGTAACATATTTTCCATCTAAATATGCCAAATCCTTATCATCGGGAAGGAGGATATTTTCAGTCTTTTGCGTTTTGCACAATAGTGCCACACACCTTTTGGAGTATAAAAGTTCACTTGAAACTCTGTTCAGTTGGTGGAACCCAGATGGATCAAATTCAGCCGAGGCATTCAGATTCATACTTTCCTGTTTTGGTAGGATTTACTATATCGAACATAATTCCAAATCCACGTCAAACATCCTCACAATATTGCTGTAACCGCAAAGTTCTATGATCTTGGAGAGATAGCTTTGTATGAGATTGGATCGGCAATAAAAAAACTCATTATTATTATATCTGATCGGGTGAAGCTTTACGTGCAGCTTGGGTGGCTAACGATGAACTCTGATCTTGAAGATTTTTGGGGAAATAAAAAACAGAAAATAGTTTCCCATCTTTTTATTTTTGCTGAGATAATTGATAATCGGGGAAGTACATCGGAAGGATTAAAAAATGAAGGTAAAAGTGCAAGCAACCTGCTTACTACTTTTAGTAATTGAGGTTGAGCAAAATCTAGAATGATTGCTTACTGTCCGTAAGGTCTATCCAGTATGGAGCTGAAGCAAAACATGATTTATGACTTTTGGCTTATGAGATAGACAACTGAACTACGTTATGGGGTTCTCTTAAAATGCCCATCTCAACAGCTAATAAACTTCCACTTAACTAGCTTTCTTTGGATTTTATCTTGAGGAAGAATCTCAGTCCGCGTTTAAGAAACTGAGCCTGGTAAGTAGTGTTGCACACATCTACTTTTGTCTTCTCGTATTCCTTCGTGGGTTTTACAAATCAATTTTTTACTAGTTGATTTCAAAACTCACCGTTAGTTTTGTCCTTGCTGTGTACACTGACGCCGGAAATCACTAGGGTGCCTGAAAGTTATTGTGAATATAATCAATTCCAAAAGTAAGACGGTATCACGAGTGTCATTGACTCGATGGCTTAGTACGAGTACATTTTGAACAATAGGGTGAAGCTTTGAAACACAGTGACAAGGTACTGCGCACCTGAATCCGTTTTGGAATCCAGTTGACGCTTTTCAGTGAAAACTAAAGTTTGAGTACGCTCAACGTCCGCGGTTTCTAAGTAGATTGTCAAATCTTAACGAACTCTCATTAAGTGGTAGCCTATGGGTGACTAGAGGAACTGATTTTTTGCGATACTAAATTGGTTGTCGGCTGAATTTTATATATGAATGTTCTAGACACCAACCAGTGGCGAACCGTAAACTAAACGTAAGGGTCTGCACTAACTAGAGGAAATCCACTGTTGATGGCTGCTTCGATAGTCACGGGATGAGTGGTAGCACAAGAAAGCGTTAGCATGTGACTGCTCATTAACCACATCAAAACAGCCTCCACTTTGTGTGCTTTCATGCTTTACACATCAGTCCGACCAACAACAAACAAAACCCACCATTCGTTATTCTTTGAGATTTCGATGCTCGAGGGCTTGTTACACAACGTATAACAAGGGTATCCATAATCTTCGCTCCATGCTGTTGTTCTGCATTTACAACTGTTGTGATTAAATCATGAGAAATCGGGCTGAAGAAGGAGTGGTATGTAGAATACTCCGTTAATGAGTCACACTTTGAACTGGTTGTATACTTTTTTTTAGCAAATCCAATAATCATAGAAACCTGAATGGTCGACTTAGATAGTTCTGATAGGCTGGCATCATCAAACTGGCAAAATTTTCCATCTGTAGCCTTTCTGTTGGCAAACGACGACGATTTCGGACACAGTAGAAGGTGGTTTTTGTTCATATTTCTGAAATGACGGATAAATTCAAGACCTAGCATTTCACAATTCAAGCTTACTTACAACAACCAATATATTTATTCATCCTCTATTGCATGAGCTCTACAGTGGACGGGTTGCTGATGACAATTGTACTACTGCAAAGCTGCCATCAAGTTTATGAGGACTCATAAAGTATTCAAGCAGGTACGAAAATCCCACAAAATATCCTGGTACCCTTGTTATATGGCATTTCAGCACAAAATACTATTGTTATTAATACACGATGAATGAAGGCATAGCCTGTTTGTCAGCTCAAAAGAATGTGCATTTCACATCTTACAAGCACAGTGTTTACCTTTGGGATGCAACACGAGGCTTTCAAAGCTCTTTGTCTTCGAATGGACCCTCTAAATTTCACATTTGTCTGAGGAATATTATTTGTAATAATCAGTAAGTTGTCTCGATTCTGATAGATCAAACAACCAGGGAGATAGTAGTTACTCAAAACATCTAAAAATATTTCAGGCAATCCACATTCTTTATGACGGACCTTTCAGCTTAAGCAAAGCAGGAAAACTTGCTGGTTGCATGGAACTATTTGAAGAGATTCTGGAACCAGCCTCATACCGATTGATACATTTCTTGTCATAGTTGAGTGAAAAATGTAGTGCAGTGATTTCCAGACACAGCATGTTCCCGTATTGGGAATGTTAGTCGTCTTGGACAATATGGAAAAAAACGTGAAACGTTCATAGGCATAATCATGGGCCCATCGGCACAAAGTTGGGATTAACTATGAGCGAAAATGGTATATGAGGTTTTGTCGAGATGACTCTTTGTAGGATTTTGTAAAATGATGTAAAACACACACCTGAAGAAATTTGAAACGTCCGTGAATTCGCTGTGAGCCAAGTCAGAAAAATCCCGGTGGTACGTAAACAAGAGTGTCACCTATTTGTAATTTTACTCCCAGATCAGACATTACTTTTCATTCCTTAGCTCAAGACCGGAGGATAAAAGGAAGGGGCCACAGCAAAAGGTCGTACAAAAATGGAGTTTTTGTTAGTTTTTTTATTCTCATCCTTATATCATCCTGAAACTTCATCCATGCTATTCATGCTTGCGTTAACTTCGCAGATTTCCCTAATGTAAAGGGTCGACCCGATTACCGCGAGTCTCTGAATGAAACTTATCAAAAAGAAAACAGTTTTACCCCAGTTTCCTTCTGGTGCCATCTTCCTACAACTATTCTGGTTAGTTCATGCTAAAACGAAAGTTATATTTTAGTTTTGCTGTTATTACAGCATACTTCTGGCGAATCAAGCATAAGAGACTTTGGCATCCGAAATGCAAAGCATTTCTGTGCCGTAAGTTCTCTAACATACGTTGAAACAATATCAATTATTGCGTTTTAACTGACGGATATGCCTGTGATTTGAGCGATGTGTACTGCCCTTAGGCTTCAACAAATACTGCTTTTTAGACTTTATTTCTCACATTTTAGTGCGAAACAGCCAAAATAGTTATTCTTTTACACAAGTACAGAAGTGATGTAGATACCCGTTCTTTAAATTCCGCTTCTCTTGACGACATAGTTATCCACTCCATTTTTCATACCGTTCAGGTAGAACTGAAATATGATCAGGAATAAGATTGTTGCAGCAAACGGCACTAAATTCTGAAGTTTGTTTCTTTATCTAATCATCTGTTGACTGATGCAACTCTCCGGTTACTGGTAAGTAGCTAGAAGGCTTGGTCTTACCGGTCATCCGTCCCCGCAGATAACCTAATGAATATGAAGTCGTGACATCAATATTTAATCGAATTTCAAACTAAAAATTTTGCCAGATGCCGAAAACACTCAAACAAGTTAATTTACCGCTTAGACGAAAAATGACACATCAAGATAAACTCACGGCCATAAGAGCTAGTCAAATGATGCGTGATCAAAAGTCCTCTGCCTAGAGTAATTCATCAAAATGCTACGTACCTGGTTTCACCAACCTTACTTGTTGAGCTAAGGGAATCCCATGGTTTGGATTACGGAACCTAAAGCATGGCGAGTCCTGACTTGAAAGGTAAACGTACAAGTAGAGTTTATCGACCAAACTTCGTTGTCCACATAAGACCTATCTAACCAAATGTCCTACAACTGCTGCTTGAAGAAACCACGAAAACATTAATTTAGTTGGTGACAATGTTCAAATTGCTGTATTTAATTCTAGCTTATCGCGTATTTTCTCCAAGAGGTGAACGCAAGTTTGGTCACCCTAGGTCTGATGCACTTTTTTTTAAAGAATTTAGGTTTCGTTTATCCGAGGGAACCAGTGTCATGTCATTTTACAAGATTTCTATTGACAATTTTAAGCGTTCTTAACAGAAGAGTTCAACGTGACTTTTGACTACTTTTCAAAGTTTTCCCTTTGTGTTAGTGCTAATTCCTTTCGCCGTAAATCATTTGTGAAAGATATAACGATTGGTGGGCAAGCTCAAACGCAATGGTTTTCGTTTATATGCACGATGGTCGAGACACATTCCAGATTGCGGGTCAAAATTTGCTGTTTCTGTGGGCTGGGATTTCAGAAGCATGATAACGTGTGCTACGTGATGCCTTCAGTTGTGGTGTGGAAAGTTGTGGTGAATGATTTTGTGGATGGTAGGAACTTTTGTGATCCTTAACGTTATGGAGCTCACAGTCGGCTATATGGAACTCTTCGGACGAGAAAACGAAATAAAAATCCATGAAGTTTAACGACCTTCGTTTGGAATTTCCTTTTAAAATGTGCCTCCTAATGGAGTGACCACATTTGAAATAGCCGGTATATTATATAGCATTGCTGGTGGTTGATCAGTTGGCAGTTGATCTGTTTGCCGAGCTTGGCAATTGGCTTGCAAACGTTTCGTCCCCAGTCGAAGAGACATAGTCAGTGCGCTGTTGAATGGTAGCAATTGCAATGGTAGTATTGCAACCAATAACTCGCGCATTTTTAGGATCAATCTATACTGAAGAGCCGAAAGCGCTGTATAGCTTTTCCACCCCCTATTATCAGTCATCAGCAGTGCACGTCTCACAAGACCCCAGGGAGGTTTGAATCCATGACTTAATGGCTAGTAGTTTGAACATTCAATCCTCCGGCTACAAGAGACTGATAAGCACTGTGACTAAATTGAACTTAGAATCGCCGCATCTGTTTATACTGCTGTCTATCTATGAGTATCTCAGAAGACGAATCATTTCATAAGCTGAGTGAAACTTCCATCTGAGAAGCCGTTACCTGAGGGATCAGTGGGCTTCCTGGTTAAAGAATGAGTAGTGCTATGTCTTGTCTAAGTTTGATTGAATCACAGAGCCCATTGGTTGCTCAGAGTTGAAAGTTTAGGTGTTCAAACTGCCTTACGGAAGCTTGCGGGTTCAAACCAGTCCCGAGACTGATGATGATCAGTCAGCTGTAAAACCATTTCGGTGCCTAGCTGCTATGCCACGCGAAGGAATCACGAGGGCTGGGACATTGCCCGGTTGCCCAAGCATAGACAGGAAAGCCGAGCGGCAGAGGTCGGGTTCGGACCACGGACCTCCGGTCAGTAAATTCGCTTTCTACCCTGAGATTAACCCTGCTGATGATTTCTAATGTAGATGAAATGGCTTTAGGGTGCTTATCGACTTATGGTTATAAGTTGACTTCACTTATGTGATGAAATCTCCATTGAAAATTACCAGATCGCCTCATAACACCACCAGCTTTTTGAATCGCTGGTGACAATTTTCTGCAAATGTTGAAGCGTGATGGAAATACCTGATGAATTGTTTCTTTGAATAAAAGTGTGATTTTTAATAGTTGCAACTATTATTGGAAATGATGTATGAGAAATCCGTTAAAGCATTTCGGAAATAACTATGCCTGGTTACTGTGACCGGTAAGCAAAACAAATCTGCACTATTAAAAGAAGACAATACGGAATAAGCCACTACACTTACTACCATGATTACCCTAATACAGGTGCCCCAGACGTCAAGTGGAAATTAAACATCTATTGGTAGATAATTTATTCCTTTAGGTGCTTTTAATTGCGTTGATAGATTTAAGACATTCCGTGCAGATAAACGCTTCCTTGGAGATTTTTGAGGAATGATCTTTTTCCCAGGACTTTGTTTTTGACAAAATTTTTTTCTTTTATGTTTTTAATGCTAGTTTGGCGCTTTTTGTCTCGAGTCCATTAGTACATGTGCATCACGTGATCTGACTGATTCCTGTTGATAAACGTAGTGAAATAACGTAATACATCCCGAATTTTATTCCAGGTTCGCGAAGTTTTTCTCAGCAGTGCTGAGGCAAAATAAATCGTACAACTCAAGTGTATAAATTACTCACGATCATTAAGTTTACTAATGAATGAATAGGAATTATTCAAAGACAGTTCACTTTAAGATGCGTCGAGTCAATGAAACCAAATGCACACACAAAATCAATATCTATCTAGTGTGTTAGGCATTATATATACAAACAGACACCAAAACCTTTTTAAGTTACCTGGATATTATCTCAAAGTCACAAAGCTTGGGAAGTCTTTGTAAGTCGGTTTCTGGTTTATTCCACAGGTCGGTTGATCCAAAAATCAGGTTTGGCACTGAGCGGTAAAGTGCCAAAGTGATGGAGCTGAGGAAAGCAGTGTTGGTGAGTAGTGAGTCTGAACACTGCTAGTTAAGCGCCGGTCAACGTAAGCCGGATAACTTCAAGCACAAATTGTGCTGGACTTCCGCTAACCATCTTACGCTATTTCGATGTCAGCTTCCTGTCAAAACCATATCCGTTGCTATGGCGACAAGTTGACACATGACTTAAAATCATTTTCCTGTCATCTGAGCTGCATTTGCAGCTGGACCGTTCATCTTCTTGTCAATCTGGAGACATCCAAATAAGACACAGAGACCTACAGGTGAGTACACCCGGATGGATGACCAGAACAAACGCAAATTTTGCAACATTCTGGGACAGCAGGTTTTATCTCAGGGTTCTGCAATCGTTACATCGGTGTCCAAGAGGCAGATGAACATGTCAGACAGTAAGAGACACAGAAGTGGACCTACTGTGAACAGAGTGGGCCAAAATAAAATACCCACCTCTTTAAGTCACATGAAACCTAGGAAACATATATGCTGATTTGCTTTCCGACTCATGCGGAGGCAATTTTCCAATGGGGCATGGAACAAAATAAAAACAGGTTACTACCTTGGCATTAAAAACTCGTAGGATCTACACCGCATGGTAACTGAGCGGCAGGGAGGCATTTAACTGTAATTTTTGGCATTATTTAAGCATAAATAATCAACATATGTAGAATCCTGGAGTTGATTTTTCAACATTTTCCTCTGCCAGTTAAATAGAGGCAACACGACCCGGAATGAATGAAGTCAAATAGGTCTTTTCCGATCTATCACCCTTGGCGCCAGTCAGAAATAGTTGAGGCAGCTTGAACCTCATCACCAGCGCCGAATCCTCTGTCTGCGCTGGCTTTACCCAGTGATGAATAGCCCCCCGTAACTTAACACCATTGCTCAAGCCTTCTGTTGAAGGTTCATTTTTTGGCGGTGGGCTGAGTTCCATCGGATGAAGGTAGTCAGTGAATTTAGAAAGGTCAAATTACCTCTAATTTACTTTCTGGCCATTCAAAAACACTATGCGCAAAAAATGCGTATTGGCCGTTCAAAATTTGTGGGAATTTGGACAAGTACCTGCTCGCTTACATTGTTCGACTAGAATTTATGAGAACCTGCTGTATCCTTATCATGCTAGACGCTTTATTATTCCAAACAATATGTCTCAAGTCTGGTAGGTTGCGTTTGCGACTGTGTTGACAATTTGTGTGATGTTCCCTAAACCACGACAAACCTTACTTGTTCGTTTGGAAATGTTTCATTTTGCTGAGTGCAGGGACCTAGCACGACTGAATGAAAGATCTCGAGCAGTTGATGTGTAATTAGGGTAAACAGTACATCCGCATTATACTTTATGTTTTATGTGACTGTCAATTGGTGAGGTTACATGTAACTTTGGTTATCTGGTTCCAACAGCTTCGGAATAAAGTCACAAAGTCTTTTGTAAGGGGGCGATCTGGTGATTCTCAAAAGGATGACGGATTGTCAAGAGAGGGTAATGAACACCTCACTTTGCAATTTCTGACAAAGTCGTTAAGTCACCAGATTTTTGGAGGGAACCAGCTGGTTGCACCTAAGCTAACGAAATAGATTTCACACACAAGGTAAGGTTTACGGAACAAGAAAATACGGGTTTTGTCATCTGACCGTTTTTGGAGGCCATAAACCTTTGGCGTCACTTATTATTTTTCATGAAGTTGAGGATCGAAGTATTTAACCAGATGCTGCGTACACCTGCTCATTACTTAAAAAAATATTCCTTCTGTGTGTTTGCACTCTGTTTTTGAGTATTTCCCACAGATGGATGATTTTCCCACCACAAGTACAATTGACGTAAAACGATTCGCGGAAGGTAGCCGCACGCGAATGGTGAAGTAAGATGTTAGGTAACGCACCGCCCGACTGTCGCAAATTAATTCGATTGATTCCCGCGCTGTCTGGAAAACGTTAGTCGACCAGCTAATTTGGGCGCAAGTTTATTAGCAATTCGCTATCCATCTGCAGAGGGAACAAAAAATGTAGAATGAAATGAAAGTTTGAAATATCCAGTAATAATTATTTCTTGCGAGCTCATTTAACCTCATTGTTTCTGTATAGATCTTTAGAGGGACTTAAGCTACTTTTGAATACTTGCAAGATTTGTAACGCTCTAGCCGAGAAAAAATAACTCTCAAGATATTTTTACATTCTCCGTAACCCTTAGGGCGCAAACTGTTATTCGGAATGTTAACTTTAATGAAATACTGGAAGCAGGTAGTTGGATAAAATTAGTTCTTTTCATATATATATCGCGTACAGTCTATGCCAAACGACTTGTACTTTTACCACGGTTATTCAGATCAAAATTCTTTGCTAAACACAATGTACCTCTGCAGTAAATGTGGGCTGCTCATTTCTACTAAATTCGAAAAACAGACTTTTGCAAGGAGCTCCCAACAAGTCCGATAATTTGTGTTGTCCCGACCTTGTCAATCAGCTAATAGTAGTGTATTTTTGGGTGCATTATAGAAGGCAGTAACCTTATTCTGGGTCATTTCCTCAGTACTCTGGCTTTTTGGCTTCGGTGGAATTAACAGTCATTACCAGCGCTGGCCGAATACCCTTCTTGACAAAGTGTACATCAAGTCCGGTCTGATGCGCTATGTGTTATCGAGGCGTAGTGTATCTCAGTTCAAGTACTTCCTGGAAGCCAATAAAAACCAGCCTTCCAAGCCCTACAGTGGATATTTCTAAATTGTTTAGAAGCAATTCAAATTCTGAATCGTATTCGTTGAAATATAAAAGCAACCTCGTCATATGTTGCCAGAGTTTCAGTCACATATGCCTCTTTGCTAAGCTACTGTACAGGATCGCATCGTAATACCTTCTCCACTTCTCCACTAGACACTCAAACCTATCATGTAGGGCACATTGTATCAACATTCCGGAGCTATGATACGAGCTCGGTCTGCTTGTCTAGTTACTTGGGGCAGTGAAGTCGGTTTTACTTGGGCTTGGACGGCCAAAGTGAAAAGGTATCATCTCAAACCCTGAATTTTTAAGGGATTGTAATTCCAGTCTCTTTCTGATAAACACTTGTTTATCAAAAACTGTGTAAGAGTCAAGGTATTCTTTGTGTTAGATATAGAGTCGGTTCATTTCTAGTTCACTAGCTCGTTTCAGGGGCAGACATAAAGCTTACACAATGGGCTGAGTAATGACACTGTTAAGCTCGACAATATTCACGTTTGGACGTAGATTCGCATTACCACATAATGTCAAGTTTAAGGCAAAATGAGTTTATACGACGTGACAAGAAGACAGACGTAAGCTTGAGTTGGAAAAATAGTTCAAAATATTTGCCAGCATCTTAACGTCAATGTGACGGCTTTTGGAACTGCCTCGTTATCACTCGCTTCAGTTCATCATTACCTCAAAGCATTCTGACTTGTTCTCCGGCCACAATTTTAATTGCCTTTAGGTCGTCTTCCTTTCTCATTCTGCCCAGTGGGCACAAATGAGTTACCCAGCTCTTTAACTATCAATTATTCCACAGGGAATTATCCAGTTTGTTTAACGAGAAGTGCAATAAAGTAATTTATCCTGGGATAGTTTCACTCTGACTATGTAGGATAAAAATCCTCCACAATTTTGGAAAAGTCGTTTTGAATGCAGGAACGTAAAGCTGCATTACAGTTGGTCCAAAATGGATGCACAAGGCAACCAGTTGCTCAGAATTTTATGTCATTTTTATTCAGTCTTCTATCTTAAATAAAGTGAAATTTTCAATTAACGGTTCTTTTCTTCTGTCCACCCAAGATATCTTAGAGCATGCTCAGGTCACTTAAAATCTTGTCCTCAAGCGCCACACACTTATGGTCGGACCTACATCCGTGACTGTGTGCAGACCAGTTGAAGAATTATACATTCCTGAGAAAACCTAAGTGATGACAATGAACGAATTGCCACAAAGACGATATATGAATTTTCTAACTC